ATATGTATATGTATATGTATATGTATATGTATATGTATATGTATATGTATATGTATATGTATATGTATATGTATATGTATATTTAAATATATATATATTTAAAATCTGCTTCTCATATATTTCCAAAATGTTACTAACCTTCTGCTGCTTCTGGAGTCTCTCCCTTTTCCACAGTGGCAGATGTTGGCAGCTGATCTGATGCAGTTCCTTTGTCAGTCTTCTTCAGCTTTGGCTGTTCTTTATTAGCTTCCAAGTCTTCTTTTTCCTTTTGTTTCCTTAGTTTAGCCTTCTCCTCTTCCCGTTTTTTCTTTTCTCGTTCTTTTTTTTCTGCTTTCTTCTGAGCCACAGTTTTGATTTTAAATGAAGAGTCATCCATGTCATCACCGCTTTCAGTCTCAGCCACCAGTTTTGCCTTCTGATTTTTCTTCTGCCCCTTTTTTGCCTGTGAGCCTTCATCCAATTCATCTTCACTCTCACCAGAGGACCCAGGTTGTGCACGCTCTTTGCTCTTCTTTACAATGCCAGCTTCATCTTCTTCAGAAAATTCATGTTTATTACCTGATTTCTGAACTTTTCCTCTCCCTTTTTTCAAATCAAATACTTCATCATCACTCTCGGAGAGTACTTCTTTCTTGGGTTTAAGAGACTTTTTAGATTTTTTTTCTTTGTCCTCCGTTTCTTCACTGCCATCTTCGTCCTCTAATCTAGCCTTTTTATTCTTGGCTTTCTTCTTTTTATCTTGCTTTGACAGGCCAAATTCTTCATTTTCATTCTCTACCTGATAAAAAAATTTAATGTCATAAATTGAAAATAATAATAGAAACCTGTACATATGGTTTGTGGTCACTACATTCTCTGACAATTGATCATAAACAAACAAAAACATCTCTCAGAAATATGCCTCCCTCTATTTGGTTGGGAATGGTGGGAAAAGAAATGTGAACAAATGCTTCGGATGATACATAAAATAAAATCTTGTTCAAAAAGTGTAGCGAAGTTGTACAATAAATAGTGCTTTTTGCTGAAGATCTTACATATTACGTTTTTTTTTCATGTGACCAAAGGAACCTTCAAGCACAGCACTGCATATATGAACTTTTTTTTTTGCCTGGACTGTATTCAATTGCTCCTGAAAGGATATTTCTTTGGAATATAATTTGATAAGACTTAAATCAGTAAGATTATTAGACTGCTCTCCCTTTTCCTGGTACTGTTGTCTTGTACAATGTGATAAAAAATCAGTTTCAGTAACGCACCTGATTAAGTTCATATTTGTAAGAAAGGAATGTAGTTGCAGAGAGAGGGGAGGAAGGAGGGATAAATTAAACCCCTCAGCAGCAGAACCAGGGAATGGATTAGGAGGGGTGGGGCAGGACAACCTTAACAGTGATCCCCAAAGGGAATGAGGGCAAGCAGGCACACACTTTTTAGAGCCAGACCCAAGATCACAACAACAACAGGTTGTACTATTGGTATAAGGAAGGTATATGTAGGAAGGATATGGGGAAAGAGCAGCAAAGCATGTTAAGTCCATGAGTTAAACAGGGGTGGAAAGAGGCAGGTAGAAGAATTGTAGAATTGGGTCTAATGTCAGTGGCAGCAGGGTTGAAGGGCGGATGACCTGTGTCAGGATGGAACACAGCAGGGCAGGAAGACACTTGAGATAGTTGCTCTATGAGGAAAGCAGAAAGCTACACAGATTCCATGGCTGGAAAGACATAGGAAAGAACGTGACAATGCTGACATCTAAGCCAATAGCAGCAAGATCTGGAAATAGTCTCAGGAGACTTTGGACAGGATGTGGGCAGCTGTGCAGCAATAGTCTGAGGCAAGTATTATAGAAGAGAGCACTGACACCTGAGGCTTGTAAAAACCCTTACATTTGCAAGTCTTCCAACAAAGCTGGACTGCTGTCAGAACTTGGACCAAACTGACTGGATAAGCCAGCAGCTATACTCTCTTTCTTTTTCTCTGCCTGCCAGATTTTTCTTGGTGATAATCAGGAAGACAACAGCCTACCTGGATAGGCTTTCAAAGATTGGCAGGAAATAATAGCTGCCCGGTAAGGTGAATGGCAGCCTAGAGCTCTGCTTTGCAATATCATCCTTTGGCATCTTCCTGCTTCACCACCTTCACCCCTTCTCACAGGTGCCCTTGACTGCATCGAGTTCTGCCACCACTGCTGGCTTTGGGAATAACTCTGCAGAGCACCCACTTGTCTCCTGTCAGTCCCACAACCTGTGCAGCTCCAAGCCCACTCAGAAAAGTGTTTCCCAATCAACTTAGTGCATCTTTCTTGATAGAAGCCTTCTTCCTGGTCCTTTTTTTGCTTGGCACACCTCCCCTGGCTTAAACCCCACAAACCAATTCCTCAGAGCATTTCTTTGCTCTTTTCAGCAGCTGTAGCCCATCTCTGGGGGTCTTTCAGGAGAGACAGCAGGACATGGATGAGGATTTGGGTAGAGACTTTTTCCCCCAACCCTGCATTCCTGAGGCGTGATTAGGTACAATTGCTGAGCCTGAGCATAGACAAGAGCTACTATAAAAAAATTAAATTACAAGATAGGGGATGTGGCTGAGCTTCCTCCTTCAGGGTGCCATATTTGCACTAGCCAGGCAATTCATACCCAGATTTACTTCTCAGGAACAGAACACCTAAAGCTCCATGCAGGACTACTGCGCTCCTTGGCACTGTACCAAATTCTGACAACACTCCAATTTTGCAGGCAGAAAGGGGATAAAGAATGAAATAAGGATGTGATTTAATGCTAAACAGATACTTCCCATACTCAGTAATCCTAAGAAAGGTTTCATTAGCACCTTCAAATGAATTCATCCAACTTCATTCATCATTAATTCACTGAAAATCAAGGCAACACAAAGCTTCAGAGCTTTGTGGGAAGCAAAGTAAATGCAGATGATACATTATCCTTCAAACATCAATAGCCAAATATTTCCTTTCCTAATAGTGTTAGATTGAAATATAACCTTGTTTACTCTATAAATATATCAGTGTTTACACTAATATTGATTTTGACGAGTAAAGGGAATTGAGATTTAGGTTGTATTCTGATACTTTTGTATGTCTGGTTGTATGGACTGTAAACAATCTTTCCCACTGGTGAATTTAAACATTTGTTTGGATACAAATGAAATATATGGACATTCCTTAAGCATTAAAGCTAATGGGATGAAATAAAATATAAATTAATCTCAGACTTATATTTAAAACATCTTATTCAGTCATAATGCTTGCATCACTTCTATAAGGTATTAACTTTCTCTGACAAACACAACCCTTAAGATTTTCATTTTGTGTACTGCATTACTTTTTGGGGAAACTGGGTTTAATTTCCTGTATTATCGTATTATTTTCTTCTCAATTTAGGTAATTCAATGTAGAAATTCATTTTGTCTATATGGGATATGTTAGAGAAAGTTTAAAGGATGGAAGCAATCACCAGGTTTCTCGTGATGCAGTTTAGGCATGGGAACATGAAGCTATTGACTTTTTCTACCGCATTTTAAGTCCATGCAATTGTCAGCATTATATTAGATTGAGTGCTATTGATTAAGGATGATACATTCTACTTTGCTATATTTCTGATACGTGAAATATATTTTAAAAATCAAGATGTGGGTTGTTTATGTGTGAGAAAGAATTATGCAATATTGAAGGGACAAATTACAAATAACTTAGAACAATGGAATGTCAATATGCTTGAACTGTCAACAGCCTTTTTGTTTTTGTTTTACAAAAAAAAAGCCCTTTGAGCAATTTGGTCAAATGCTTTGGAGCTGTTTTATTCACAAGATAACTTTCCACACCACTTTCCAGACAGATGGGTAAATTTCAGTATTAAATTATTATAGTTTTTCCAAGTGAATTAATCTGACACAAAAGACATATAAAAATTTTGAGTACCAGTTTTGCAGGATTTTTACCTTTGCTACAACTGGTTCTTTTTCAACACTCCCACCTTGTGTTTCTAGAGACAGCTCTTCCAACTCTTTCAGGATGTCATCTTCACTGCAAATGAGAATGATATTATTTAGAATTTGTTTATAAATGTATATAAAACAGAAGTCAATAATTGGATGTCTGATAACAGAATCAAAGATTTGAGAGGGACCTTGGAGGTCCTCTAGTCCAACCCTCTACTCAAGCAGATGACCCTATACCAGGGATCAGCAACCTGCGGATCTGGAGCTGCATGTGGTTCTTTCATCCATGTGCTGCGGCTCCCTGTCACCAGTCAGCACCACAATTTTGAGAGGATGTCCCGGGGGGGGGGCAGGGAGTGCCAGTAGGCTAATCTATGGCAAGGGGCAGGTTTTCCAGTCACAATTTATAAGGCTTTCAGTTAGGGCAAGTAGAGGGAAAAGGATGCCACGCTAGGAGAAGACTCTATGATGGGGGAACAAGATTTCGGGTCAGCTCAGAATTGAACGGGGGGCTTCCGGTTAGGACCTTTGTGGCTCTTTGAATATTTAAGGTTGCCAACCCCTGCCCTATACCATTTTAGGCAAATGGTGTTTAAAGTAGTGCTGTTCAGCAGTCTAAATCATAACATCCCTTCTCTTTCATCTTCTTGAAACTGCCCGTAAGATTTTAAGTGAAGGAGAGATATACTTTATTAAGTATTGCCATACTTTATTTTCCAAACTTAAATGTACCTATAAACATACAGCAAGTTAATGTATGTATGAGATTCTCATGTTCCTTCATCTGGAAAACTATTTAAGAAGAAAATTAGAGTATAGTGAGCCAGTTCTGTTTCTCATATAATAGTTGGGCAGTGAAACTAAAGGGAAAATGATAGTTTGATAGCCAATAGCACAAGATGAATAGGGAAGACAAAGCACTTTGAATTGGCTAAACAACTCAGTAGAATGCTACTGAAACATTTATGCAAAGACACTGCCAATGCTGAACATGTCAATAAAACTACAGGGATGAAAGACTAGATTTGATCTCTATCATCCCTATCACAATTCTTTCAGTTATCATTAAATGCACTTTTATAAGACTTGACTCCAAATTTAGCTTTTTATCCTCCATCTAATCTCCAAAGCATGCTACAAGTATATTCACAAAGTCTGATTCCATGTATCTAATCTAATTTGTATCAGAACTATGAAGGACAAGTTTTGAACTTACTCATAATCCTGTTTTTTCTTTTCTTTTTTCTTCTTTCCTTTAGATTTTTGAGGCTCTTGTTCCTTGGCAGCACCTGCACCCTCTATTTCAGCAGCAAGGGCATCAAGATCTATATCATCTTTGGCACTAGAACAGCCCCGGGAAAAAAAATCATGTGAAATATATTTGAGACAGAAGTTCAAATGTTCACTTTCCAATACTAGCATTTAAAAAAAAAAACTTGTGCTTGAGTCTGAAAAACTCTTTTTTAAATAATTATTTCAGTATTGAAGTTAGAATTTTAGAATTTAGAATTTATTTGTTATTTATAGGCCGCCCTTTTCCCTGAGGGGACTCAGGGCGGCTTACAGTTCA